AGTTCACTCTTAACAAAATAATTTCAGATTAACGAATATTTATATATAAAATGCTATATAACGATGAACGAAGAATTTAATAGATCATGCATAATAAAATCCATTCACTTTAGTGAAGCATAGTGGTGATTGGTTTATTTTTGTAGATCATTTTGTGATTTTTATGGTTAACAAAATTAAGTTTCATGCCCTAACAACATGGGTTTATCATTATTTTTTGTTTCGGAATCGATTCCGTCTGCATATTATTTGTAACCGTCTTGGTAAGTTTCCGGGATATGCTGGTTTCCTTTCCTGTTTCAACTTCGTTGTTTATGTAAAATTCGGTAGCCGCACATTTTTTTGATGAGTTGACCAGCAAAATTCCACCTTCGCCAGGAGCAATATTCTTTGACACCGATTTTTTGTTACCAGATATATCATTAGATCCCTCAGCAATTCACTATTGTCATGCCATATGGCTGAGTTTTTTGTTTTTTGGTACAATAATTTAGTAAAATGGTTAATATGGATCATTCACTAAATTTTTTGGCCCAGGCGGTGCCGTTGATGGGGGTTCATTGGCTGATAAGTCAACATTAATAACTCCTGAAGATTCTCGTTCTCCATTGCCATGTGCATTGACTTTTATTGTCTCCACTTTTTTTGTTAAGTTTTTATCGTCTCACCACCTGGTATCCTTGGAAAATCCCCTCCTCAGTAAAATTTGTAAATGTCTTATTATTTGACCAAAACATCAAATTAAAAAAAAATCCTACTTCTTTTTTGATTGAACCATCGTTTTGTCACCTTTGTCTGAGGAATCAGTTTGAGTTTGAAAGAAAAATAATAATAATAAAAATAAAATAAAAGGAATAAGTTAAAGGAGGAGTAGAAAAAAAAGAAAAAAAAACAAAACTTTCAAGTATGCATAAAATAACTCTATCACTAAGGTCTCTGTCTTAGCGACTTTGAGTGAACATTCACATTTCCTCTTAGGGGAGTGCCAGAAAACACGTGATAAAATTTTACTAAGAGTCAACCCCCCCCTCCCTTGTGATCCTAACTATA